AAGGGGAGAAATATGGCATGGAAAATACCAAATCCTACCGGAAAAAGAACTAGATGAAAGAACACTTGATGGATTAACTGAAAAATTTGTCCGCCACCTTCCAGACATTCTGGAAAAGTCTAAATTGAGTTCAGTTGAGAAACTACCTTATATGACTATGATGAGGGGTAATGTCAGCAATCTGATCGACTTTATTGCTCAAAATAGCCGAGAAATCGACCAATTAACCAAGTGAAAAATTTTAGCCTCTTTGGATTTGGAGGAACGATTAGAGATTTTAATCAGCATCCCAGACCGCCAAAAAATTGAGAAGCAACTGGATGACGAAACTAAGGAAGAAATTAAAAAACAGCAGGAAGAATATTACCTTCGTGAAAAGCAAAAAGCGATTGAAAGAAAATTAAAAAAAAAAGGAACCTATGGGAGCAATGAAATGCGGAAATACTTGGAAAAAATCGAAAAAGAGAATTATCCTGATAATGTAAAAAAGGTGATTCGGGAGGAGATAGAACGCTTCGAAATGATGCCAAGCAACTCCAGCGAAGCCAACATTATCAAACAATACGTCGACTGATTGGTAAACTTGCCATGGTACCAAAAAACCAAGGAAATTAATGATTTAAATTTTGCACGGCAAAAACTGGATGAAAAACACTATGGTCTTGTGGAAATAAAAGAAAAAATTATTGAGTATTTAGCCGCCCAGCAAAAAGCCAACAAGACACTAGGACAGGTTGTTTGTCTAGTAGGTCCTCCGGGGGTAGGAAAAACCTCCCTAGCGGCCTCAATTGCCGAAGCAACTGGACGGAATTTTGTTAGCATTTCCGTAGGGGGAATTCGTGATGTAGCCGAAATTCAAGGTCACCGCCGCACTTATATTGGGGCTATGCCAGGTCGAATTGTCCAGGCGATGAAAAAAGCCCAAGTAATTAACCCTTGTTTTCTAATTGACGAAGTCGATAAAATTTCTGCTGATTACCGTGGCGACCCAGCCTATGCATTGTTGGAGGCTCTCGACCCGAATCAAAATAAAAAATTTATTGACAATTACCTGGGGGAAGAAGTTCCTTATAACCTTTCCGAAGTAATGTTTATTTGCACTGCTAATGATGAACGAGAACTACCATTACCTTTGCTTGATAGGATGGAAGTAGTCCGACTTTCTTCCTACACGGAAATTGAAAAGTTTCACATTGCCAAAGAGTACTTAATCCATCAAGTGTTCTTTCATCTAGTTCTTTTTCCGGTAGGATTTGGTATTTTCCATGCCATATTTCTCCCCTT